GGGCTCGAACCCACGACCCTGAGATTTGGAGTCTCATGCTCTACCGACTGAGGTAATTAGTTGCGTTCACTGTTTGTCAGGTATACGTGCAGCTCCTCACACTATGGACGACCTGGCTAAGGGTAAACACATTGTGAAGTGATGAATGCACGCTCCCTGACGAGCGTGAACGATGTCATAAGAAATGATGAGCAAAAAGATGAAGCACTGTGTTCGTCTCTTGAGCGGATGCAACTGGTGGTGCAACAGTCGGTCCGCCACCTTCACCAAGATATTCAACAGTTACGTGTGGATATCCAACAGGTGGTTGAGCAGCTGCAAGAGCAGCAACGACAGTCGGCTGAGTAGCTTCAAGAGCAGCAACGACAGTCGGCTGAGCAGCTTCAAGAGCAGCAACGACAGTCGGCAGAGCAGCTTCAAGAGCAGCAACGACAGTTACGTGTAGATATGCAACAGCAACAGAATACCCTGGAGCAGCTTCAAGTCCGTATAATTTAGTGCCGTACAGGAACAACGCCAAATAAATGCGGCGACCGCTAGGCGACTCGACAATCAATAGCAAGGGAAACCTAAAGTTGGTGTAGCTACACCAACTTTGCATTGTAGGCGTGATCGTGTCTCATGCCCCAGCAACACAGCTACAGCTTAAGCTGTAGCCCCTACTTCCCCGTTGTTCCATCTGTCGACTCCTTGTCTTCGTCTACTGTCTCCCTTATCTTTTCCATTATTACACTGGTAGGGTTGTGTAATTTGTACAAAAAATAAAATAAAAAGACGTTTCGTTACAATAGTATTGTTAGGCCCACAAGTACATGTAGTTCATGTTCATTAGTTCATGCATTATTCATTTGGCCTGGGTAGCTACTTGGGCGCCCATGTTTGCCATAGCTACCCAGGCCCTTTATATTGCGTTGCTCTCTCTTCAACTCGCTCTCTTCAATAATCTCCCTCTTCAATAATCACCAAGTAGTCGTTTCGTACGTCTTGGTCTCTTGTCCCGTTTCTAATGAATGTCGTTCCACCAACCTACCTGTTCCCGTCGTCAGTGACTTGTTAGGACTCAACAGTATTCAATCAAATATCGGGTCATTAAACTAGTTACGATGGGCTCCGGAGAAAAAGCATCCCGTTCGCTTGGGTCAGAAGTGTTGACTACAGAAAGGGGGATACTCTCAAGACACAACGGACAACGGGTTGGTGGAACGACATTTATTACAGGAGACGAAGAGACAGAGACCAAGACGAACGAAACGAAAGGTGAGTACGAGGGTGCATGCAGGCCAGCTTGGGAAAGGTTGTAGAACGTCCGGGAGGAGTTAACTAACAGAAGTCAACAACATCTTACCGTTGCGCCCTTTTCCAATGGGGCCGTGTTGTAGGCAGCTATTCCATCGAAGAATGTAGCACTGTGCAGCACAGAAGTGTTGAACAAGTTAACTTAGTACCCACTTTGCCTTCTACGCACTTTTGACCGAGAGTTGCCTTCGGCTCTGTCAAAGTTTCTTCTAACGTATTGTTTTATAAATTTGGAATACCACTTGAATTGAGGATGATGTGTCGAGGGCTTTTCATGTAAATTTAGAATAGTTCATACAACAGAAGGAGAGAGTGTGTATATGTTTATGTGTGTTTGTGTGTGTGTGTGTGTGTGTGTGTGTGTGTGTGTGTGTGTTATGTGTGTGTGTGTGTGTTATGTGTGTGTGTGTGGTATGTGTGTGTGTGTGTGTGTGTGTGTGTGTGTGTGTGTGTGTTTGGGTGTGTGTGTATTAGTTTTCGTCGACGGCAGGATGAGAGTCCCCACAAATGTAACGCGATAAGACACTCCCGTCGAGCGCCCTGATGGATAGCACAAATCCGAGTCTGCCCCTTTGGGGGTCACATAGCCGGACACGGCAGTGGTACAAGGAAGGAGGGAAGGGCGGTGTATTAGAGATAGAGAGAGAGAATGAGAGAGAGAGAGAGACACACACACACACACACACACACACACACACACACACACACACACACACACACACACACACACACACACACACACACACACACACACACACACACACACACACACACACACACACACACACACACACACACACACACACACACCCACACACACACACACACACAACTGCCAGAGAGTGAGAGCCAGAGAGTTAGAGAGCCAGAGAACTAATGAAGGCGAGAGTGGACCGTCCGCCTGTTCTGAAACAGTACGAATGGGCTACAAACGGCCAAACGCCTAGATGGGAGAATACTGAAAAACACAGGACTAAAACAAAACGGGTACTAGTCCGAGGCAGAAAGCTGGAACAACACAGTACACAACGAGTAGAAAAGTATGAACAGGAATTTGATGGCAACCTTGTGCATCTGCGCCTTGATCCTAGAGAGTGGTGGCGTTCCTACGGATGCGGAAAACTGCCGAGTCACACGCGAATTGTGAAATTTTTTAATAATACTTTTTTGTGTTCACCAGGGTGATAGTGACCAATACAGGGTATCACAAAAATCCGCTTCAAGCACAAAAATATACTCGTAGCTCGGTTATCTGGACCCCGGAGTTACGAGACCTTTGGTCTACCAGGCACACTTTGGGCGAGTTTTTTTCAATTCTTTTCTCAACACGACTGATTACACAGCATGGACCGTGTTCCAAAAATAAATTGAAGAAAATGGACAAAACGAATTGAATACAAACAAAAACACAATAAGCAACAAACGCACAGGTGGATGTCTGTATTTCGTGGCAAACACGGGGTGCGGATTATACTCCAGTGTGGCTTATACGTCGGACAATGCGGTAAGTGATTCGGAGATGCAAGCATTTCAAAGTTACGGGTAGTGTTCGGTCCCAGATCACCCCGGATAAAACGAAGTTTGAGTGTGGTACATGTACTAACGTGAATCCAGAGCAGGTGCTGGGTATGGGTGTGGCACACATGTACTAACCTGAATCCAGAGCAGGTGCTGGCTGCCACCCAGGTCTTGTTCCCCATGCCGCGCACCACACCGTGGTAATAGCACGTCTCTGCACCAACCTGTTCAGACACACAACAATAACAAGAAGAAGCCATGCTAAACCACACTTATTATACTTTCTCTCTACGCCATGGCTGGCAAACGCACCCTCCTCATCTATATTGACACTGATTCATCTTTAGCCACTGGAAGATGTAATAATAACAATAAACTCTTTATTACCATCGCTGCTATTTCAGCCAGGTGCTAAACTTTGATTTCTCTTTATCCGAACCCCGTGCCTGCATTTCGTTTTCTCTTATTGTCCACAGGCCATCGTGAGAATGAAAGATTTCCAAAACGCAGGCAGGATATCAGGAAGCCGTGCATGAACAGCTGAGTACAGACACCATTCTTTCTAAGTCTGTTTGAATTCTTTATTCTCACGATGGCACCATCGCCAATAAGAGATAAATTTATGAGAAGGTGAGATTGTGGGTTAAACAGTTGGAAAGTGATTTACATCACTTTGAACTTTACAAGTATGGGAGAGGGTGAGCGCTGCAGGAGCAGATTGAGTTAATCAGCAGTGAGCAGATTTCTTGTTTGAAAGCAGGTCGGGAGGAGATGTCACGAATGCTAGCAGGGAGGGCATTGTAGTATTCTAGGGACTTGTACAGTGGGGAGTCTTTACAGCGATCGGTTCTGGAGGGTGGGAGGTGCCAAGTGCGTGCGTGTCGAAGGCTGTACTGGGCCGTAACTTGAGCGGGGGTGTTGAGCAAGCGTATGTGTTGTGGGGCATATTGGTATTTTATGGAGTGAGCAAGAAGGGTGAGCTTCACTTTGCGGCGAGAGAACATTGTCGGCCATTTGAGCCGATGGAGCAGTGTTGAATGATCCAGAGGAGTGTAAAGGGGGAGACGGAGGCAGATTCTGGCCGCCTTGCGCTGGATTCGCTCAAGACGGTCAAGAGCTGCGATTGAGAGCGGGGTGACAGCAATGCATGCATATTCAATTATAGGCAGGATATACGTTTTGTAAATGAGAGAGAGTGATTTAGTGTGTAGAGTTGATTTGAGCCTAAAGAGAATATTAAAAGATTTTACGGCTTTCTTCAGCACAAAGTCAAGGTGGGCTGACCATCTTAGGTCGTGCTGAAAGATGATGCCGAGGTGACGATGTTGTGTTACTGTTTCTAATAGGGTTTGGCCAAGTTTTATTTCGGGTAGTCGTGGTGGGGGTCGGTTAGCATGGTAGAACGGGAGGATGACGGTTTTCGTTTTATTGACTAGCAGGTGCCAGCGCTCTAGCCATTCTGCTGCGGCATCGACGCTTCTTTGTAGCGCAGCCTCACACTCAATGTAGCTGCCTGCAATGGCAATTAGTGCGGTGTCGTCCGCGAACTGGCTACACGAGGTTGTAGCATTTTCACAGGCAGTGGGCAGGTCAATGGTGTACGCCAGGAACAGAAGTGGTCCCAGGACCAAGCCCTGGGGCACTCCTGCTGGTATTGGTATGAAGGCGGATGTTGTGCCTTCAACCTGCACCCGCTGTCTGCGTCCTGTCAAGTAGGCTTCGAGCCAATTGTGAGCCTTGCCGTCGACACCATAGTGGCTCAGCTTTTTCAGCAAGCCTTGATGCCATACACGATCAAAGGCTTTACTGAGATCGAAGAAACACGTTACAACATGCTTCCCCGCATCCCTAGCTGTGGATATCTGGTGGACGATCCGTGCGAGTTGCAGCTCGGTCCCGTCTTGTTTCCTGAAGCCGGATTGGTTGGAGGGTAAGTGCGGTGCTATGTGATTGTACAGACGAGAGTGGACTATTTTTTCTTGTGTTTTTGATATTATACTGAGCAGGGAGATGGGTCGGTAGTTGGTAGGATGGGAGGGGTTGCCCGACTTAGGGATGGGTGTAATAGTTGCGTCTTTCCAATCCTGTGGTATTTCTCCGGTTCTGAAGGACAGATTGTAGAGACTAGTGAGAGATGGGGAGATTTCCTTTGCAGTTTCTTTCAGGAGCCGAGTTGGGATGTTGTCAAAGCCTGGGCTCTTGCCAGTGTCTAGACTGCATAGAAGCTTCTCGACCTCTTCCACTGTTGCTGCGATTGTATTTAGAGTATGACTGATGTCAGGGGTAGTGTTGATGTCTGGTGTAGTACAGGTGGTCTTGTCGATGGACTGTTGGCTTTGGGAGATAAAGAACTTGTTGAGAGCTGTTGCTTTCTCCATAGCCGTGGCTGCAGTGGAGTTGGCTGTCGATAGTGTGGGAATTGTTTTCTTAGGCGGTTTTTTCAGGTGCTTCAGTAGACGGTGGAGGTTTGTACCCGTTGACGTTGTTTGCTGGACAAAGTCGGACTTAGCCTGTCGCAAAAGAGCGGTTACTCGGTTACGCTGGGCTGTGTACAGTTTCCAATCTGAGTCTAGTTGGGTCGCCTTGTAGGTGCGGAACTGTTTGTGCTTTGTTTTGATCTGGCTGAGGAGATCCTTCGTCATCCAGGGACGAGTGGGCGTAGAATTTTTGCGGGACTTGCTTCTGGTCACTTGGCAGTGGTGCACGGCTAGTTTCAGTATCTGGTCTCTCCAGAAGTTCCAGAATGAGGTTACTGGCTGAGGGTCAGTGGGATGTGGATCGTACTGCAGATTGCAAGTCAATCAAGGTGCTGTAAGTCAACAAATATTCGGCACATATTTGAAAGTATACTTGTGAAACCAAACATTTTCAAGATGTTCGTAAAGAGCCTGAAGTGTGTCCTTTTTATGAGTATTATCGCATTTTTCTCTCAGAGGAAACTATTTGCATATTTATTTTCGGCTGTTTTCGGCCTAATCATATTTGGTCAAAGATTTGTTGCAGCCGAAATTTCGTTTTGCAAGGTTCAGTGTGACAGTGCATACAGGCAGCAGCAGTACAGGCGGAAAAAGTTTTTGCAGCCGAAATCTGTTTTAGCCCTGGGATCCCCGAAATTTTAATGGGCCGGAAATTAGTAGACTTACAGTAGATTGAGAACAGGAACAGGAACAGGAACAGGAACAGGAACAGGAACAGGCTTTGCTGAGTGGTGTATGATACGGGTTTCATTAGTTCAGCTCATCAAATGTTTTATATATATTTTTAATTTCACTCGCCTGACGCAACAACTACAAAGCAAAATAAAACTTAGTAAAAAGAAAATGAAACTTTACAATCTGCACACAATGACAACTCCATTTTTAAGATAGTCTCTGTTGATCAGTCGGTATCCGTTACCCGTGTTAGCTAGTTGCTATCAAGGCGGGCTTCGGCAACAGGAACATCTGGAGAGGCGTCATCCATCCCCTCACAGGCCATGGTGTCTTTTTACCAGGCGAGGGCAGGTTCTCACAGAATGATGAGCACTGAGTGTGTGCAGTATATGACCAGGAAGCTGTTGCACTGAAAACGCAGTCGCCGGTCTGAGAGAGGACAGGCCAGCAATGAATGAATGAATAGCATGCACAGACTCGAGGCTAACGTTCATGCAAGCCAAACATTAATAGAGTTCATTAAAACAGTGCACTGCCAAGTTAGCGCACAGTGAGTTTGGGAAGTCGGTAGAAAATGTTGAACGGTCTCTGCTCGCATAAACAGGTACGCCTCAGCTCAGTCGTTAGAGATTTCCTGGCCTCAAGCGAAGGTCTATGGTTTGTGTCCTGGTGGCGACAGTCAACGTTGTCTTCAGACTTTTCCCTCGAACCAATGAATACAGTGCATTACATAAGCAGATGTGGCCCTGGGGGGGGGGGGGGGGGTATGAACAACATAAACATCTCACCTCGTCATGGAGGAGCTCGCCGGTTTCCGGATCGAGGCGGAAGTTCATCCCACGCCTGCCAATAGCGAGTCTGCAAGAAACAGAAAACCATAGCCTTAGCTACAAAAATGCTCATTCCTCAGCCCAGCAGCAAGTCACATACATCAGGGTTCGACAATCAGGTGAAACGAAGACACTTTGCATTCAAGGGAGCGACAGAGGAGATCCATTGGTCATGTGTACATGGCAGCGTGGTGGTTCACGAACGACTCAAGAGGTTTTTCCTGTGCCAAAAGTGTTTCTGATATTGGCAGTGGTAAAAATGATCTGACACATTTGTTTAAAAGTACAAAAACACAGGAAGCAGGTCCAGTTGTACCCTGACCTGTCATACTAAGATCAGTATTATACACATGACCTCCTCAGCAGTAAACACACGTCCTTGTCCACAAAATTTGGTCCAGCCATGGCCTGACAAACCAGACCGGTTTCGTCAGGCCTGAAAGATGCAACTCCCAAAAAATTGCTATTGCAGCTTGAAAGACCATCAACTTCATGAACAAGTGTGCCCAAGTATTTCCAGTGATTCGATGATTCAAAAGCCTTCATGTACCTACAAGACACCACTTCAAAAGCAGGACATTGTCTCATGCATATCCTTCCAATCATACCTGTTCTGCAGGAGGTCCAGTATCCAGGTCTTTCCGAAGCCTGACACACCAACAGTGAGAGTGCCTGTGTACAACATCTATACAGACAGGCAGGCCGACAGACGGGAAGGCAGACAGACAGAGAGACAGACAGGCAGGCAGGCAGACAGACAGACAGATACATAGATAGACAGATGCATAGATAGATAGACAGTCAGAAAGGCACACAAACACACAAACACCCCCGCTCCCCCCCCCCCCCCCCCACGCCCACCCCATGCCCCCCCCCCCCCCACACACACACTAATGTCCAAGCGCACACACATACACACTCACACCATCACTCAAACACTAGCATCCAACGAGAAACATGATATACTTGTGACTTTTGGAGAAATTGTGTTATGACGTCTGCAAAGGTTAGATATCACACCAATACGATATGTCCTCTTCTGCCGTGGCACGGAGTCTACAACACTTCTTCCACGTGATGTGAAACCTCTATAACTGCTGTCAACACCACTGAATATGGAGTGTGCCGGTGGCTGTTGCACACTCTTCTTCCGTATTGTAGACCATTGGTCTGTTGAGAAGGCATCGGCGCCTGAAAATTCGTTGCAGTAATAATATTGAAGATACTAGTACTACCAAGCGTCCATAAACAAGAGTAGCAACTGTGGTCTCTTTTCTATGGGCCAGATGCACGGCTCGCTGCCTCCATTACATCATTCAGCTGCAGTCCTCGCACTGCGGAAAATCTAACACTGCACTTTCTGTCTGGTTTGAAATGAACTTTCGCACGTAACTGGAGTTCACACTTCAACATTTAGAGATCGCGTAGGTACCGGAACAAATAGAAAAAACCCCGGATGGGCTTCTACGAGAAATTGGGGGGTTTGAGTGCATGCTTTCAGAGCGTGATGGAGGCAAGTTACGTAATGAAGGCAGGACGTTGAACACTGACGCATAACCACAGTTGCATACTCTTGTTTATGCAATCCTGCTACTACTCTTGGGGGTTATAGTATTGTCTGATACCGAAGAACTAGGGGTACAGAGCCGTAGCCTACACTTTCCTTTTTTTCGTGTTTCATGTCTATGTCTTTACAATGGAGGCGCCATGTACATAGGGATGCCCTGCAGATGATAACATTGTAGCCTGTTCGTTCTTCAGGACATGATCACGAGTCTTCTACAGTGTTGCTCAATGAAATCCAGTCGAGTCACTCAAACGACGTTGCGCAGCCCTGAACCCTGCGAACACTGGGCTGCGAAATGGGGCAAGGCGCAAACTTGAGTGGCGCGACTGGACTTTGTTTAGCAGCGCTGTACCACTGGCTGTGCTGTACGATCTCCTGGTCTTACCAACTTCTGTTCAGGTGTCATGATGTGCGATGTCATCATCACTGGTATAAACGTATGATGTTCGTCCACCAACAACCTCGGATCTGCAGACAACCAAAAAGTGAAGAATAAGAACACAGAATAAAAAAACTTACACACTCAAGCGCGATGAACAATAATCACTTCTGCGACGCCATGAGCGACGAACAATGCGATCGAGAGTTTTTTTCTGCAAGACGTTGCATCGTAGGTTGTCGCAGCTCCGTCGCAGGCCGCGAACTGTAATTATTGAATAGTGTATAATCTACTAATACTCTATATTGTCCACAATGGTTATTCGGATTGAGAACAAATGATGCCAACATAATACCATGCAACAATCATAACATGCAAAAAAATGTACAAAATGTGATTCATAGATTTTTTTTCTTTCGATGGTCATCAGTGAACCTACATCGAATGGCGATCTACAAGTATTATAATTGTGTGCTCAAACAAAGCTACAAAGTCATGATTGGTGGCTACAAAAACTACCGCAGCAGCAAGGGTGAAAAAGTGATTACATTGTCGCAAAGGCGTGACAAAATTGTAAATCGCCATTCGATGTGGGTTCACTGATGACCATCGAAAGAAAAAAACGTTTATGAATCACGTTTTTTACATTTTTTTGCATTTCATGATTGTAACATGGTATTATGACCCCAGTGTTTGCATGAGTCACAGGTGAAAAATCGTAACAATTGTGCGTCTCTCGTTAGGTGTGCAAGGCAGCTAAGTTGGGAGAGTTCGGGGAAACAGGGTTGGTACGACATGTGCTTGTGTTTGAATAAGTGGGAGTTCATGTGACATACATAGTGCTTGATGATAGCAAGAGTGCATGAAACCCAGAGTGGGCAGCTCTGATGGGTTGCTGTCACGGCTAAATTCCATGATTACATCCTTTTACTGCTGCAGTGCGTATATAACTATAAGGAGGATTCAAGCAGATCTCTTTCTGCACAACTGCACCACAGTTGCATGCACTACGCCACTTCCCGCCTCAGATGTACACCAGATATGATGCAGTCCCGGAATTTCGTCGTGACAGACACCCATGCAGAAAAAGCCAAAAGCTGCACACTCTGGGCTTCATTAATTTTACTTTTGATCACTGGATAGCAATCAGCAGCCAATACCTTCTCACATACCTACCGACCTTGCAAACCTGAGATCGGGACAATGACATACCTAGGTATGAAAATGCATACAAACGAACCCGTGAGGTATACAGCAAATGCACTTCTGGGTGCCTATTACCACCCTCGATATAGGGACGGTGCCGGCCAAATCGGGATTATTGGCATGTACGCTCTCATTATCTCCTATTTTCTATTTGCTCCTCTCCTAGTGCACATGCCCAGCAGTGATGCCAATGCCATTATGATCGGCAGAGCTTCATATGCCCCACCCACTCCACCATCTCCCTGGCAGTTGGTAGCTGCTTGTTATGCGCTGAAAGGACATCATTGGTCTCTTCAATGTACTTTGCAGGGAGTGCATTTCGTAGAAAAAGAGAGGAAAATGAAAAAAAATCCGTCGTTGACCCGAAAGTGAAATGCATGAAACACTACCTTAGGCCATGATGATATATATCAGTGATACATGTATGTCCAGCTATTGGTAATTTTCCCACCAAGAGCCGGATGTACTATTTGGCTTTGCTACTGTTACACTGATACTGGGCATACTGCACAGGCAGAAAATTTCGTCGGTCAATACTTTCGTCCAACTCTAAAGAAAGGGAGTTCGTCCGGTTGTAAATTTCGTCCAGGGATCATAAGAGTGTATTGAAAAGCTGGACAAATCGACATTCGTCCGGCATTTAATTTAGTCCCAAAGCTCCTTGGACGAAAAAGACGAAACTGAATTCCAGACGAATATTTCTGCTTACAGTACTTGGCGTAGGCGCCCGTGCTATACCAGGGAGTTGAGGAGTTTGTGTTTTGACTGTGACATGTTGAGTGCTCGTTTGTAGTACGACATTCCTGCCCTCTTAGAAAACATGCCTGATTTTGACTCTATAATTGAGCGAATGCTCCTTCAGAACCTGGCCAGACACACATTCTAGTACACACTCATCAGCTCACAAGGACTTGTAACACACAGCTAGCCGTTGTGGCCCCTGTAGGGTGCTCAACCCAGCACCACCCAAGACATGGCGCACACAGGCCTTCAGTTCCATATCACGTAACACTCCAACTTGAAGTGGCCTTCAAAACAGATAGCAGGCCTATTCCCTACCTATTCCCTACAGGTCAGAAACCTGTACTTTGCAGGAAACAGTTGCACAAGATCACCATGCATGGCTTGCACGTGTACACGACTGAAAAAGACATGTTCGAAAACAAAATCAAACAGTAGTACAATTTTAGGCGCCTCATACATTTTGTACAAATTTTTGTACAATGTTTTGTACAATTGCTGTAAACACATGCTAAGAATCACATGCTGTATCTAACTGGTTAAAATTAGCTGTCAGCTTCATACAGTATTAGCTGGTGTCTCAAGAGCCATTCACTAGGCAAGTGAAGTCTTCAAAATTTACGACATGAATACTTTTCGTTAACTTCCGTACTTCACTTGCGCCTTTGGCGAAACCAGTAACACTGGTTCTATTTTATGACAATTCAGGCTATGCTAGTATTGTTGAGGCCATGGGTCTATGTTGGCGCAGTTTGCTGGAAGATAGTGCACTTTGCTATTTTTGCCCTGTACTCGTTGACATTGTGCCCTAACTCTTGCTGTAGATCTAGTTTGTTGTCAGCGGCTGCAATGGTTCCTGCCTATTTTTCCAGTGCGATTTTGAGCCTGTTCATAACGATGCCCATAATTTGGATGCTAATTTTGGAGGCTGGTACCTCCAGCAGACTACCAAAAGGTGTCATCATTCCCACATCGTCATCTACTAGGATGTCCACAGTTCCAGAGTGTTCTCAACTCCAGGGCGTCTTCAATTTCATTATAACCTGAATTCCGAGGTCTTCCCTATTGCCAGGTGTCCTGATTGTCGAAGTGTGCCCAATTCACAGGCGTATTTCAGTACAGGTTCCAATGTGCTGCAAGAGTATTTCAGATGACTGAAATTTCAGACGGACACTCTACACTCCCATTGATGTAATGGAAAATAGGTACTCTGCCCCAGGGTATGGCCAAGTTACACAGCCTCCGTGTCAGACATATTCCTCCTTTTAGTCTACTGGCATGGAGATGCTAGCAATACTGACAAGAGTTCTGCGCTACAGGGATAAACTGAGCAAACATCATCTGAAACATCATCATCTGAAAACATCATCTGAAATATCATGTGAAATTCCTATTGTCCGGCACGACTCTACACCAAAAAATCTCACTGGAGTACGAGGCCTCTGGACAAAAAATACACCAGCGGGATAGGCCTCTGCACAATACGCCACTGGAGTATGCCTCTCTACGAATACACAGCTACTGGATGCCGGAAACCTACTGGCTCCCTATATATCTCTGGAAAACCACAACAGGGTACATCTCTGCACAAAACACCAATACGTTTATAGCAAACACAACCTGTGTATGTCTTTACACACAACACTAGTGGAGTTTGCTTCAGCACAAAACACAACCTGTGTATGTCTTTACACACAACACTAGTGGAGTTTGCTTCAGCACAAAACACAACCAACATTATGACTATGCTGAACCACAATCCGGGGTGTGTCCCTCCACAAAACACCACTGGAGTACGCTTCTGTACCGAACACAACCAGTGTAGGTCTCTACACACAATATTACGGGAGTATGCTTCTGCACACAACCGGGGGTACGCCTCTTCCAAAACATCACCGGTGTATGCCTCTGCTATAAAACTACTGGATGACTCTACCCACAGCACAACTGGGGTACGTCTCTACACAGAACACCACTGGAAGGTTCTAATTGGATCAGAAGGGGAAGGGTGGCCTTCTGCTTGTTTCCACCTCCATGAGAGTACAAGATTAGGCCAAGAAGACAACCCTCAGGTCATATACCACCTGGTTTAGAACACTCGTCACAACTAGCAGAAGGCATGATTTATCTAGGTGTACCACACTGCAGTGATCGACTGCTCTGGTCATGGTTGAGCATGATAAAGTAAACAAAATTCCAAGAATTTGGAAAGGCTTGTACAGACACGGACGGGCGGCTGGATAGTTCTGTGGAATTGGCTCCCTCGACGGCAACGGACCTTCCAAGCGGGAAGGTGGGGCGGGCATTCCCAGCTGTTAGATGCTCGTGTTGAGCCGCCCAGATGACAACGAGTTTCGTGCTAGTCTCCGCAGTGTACGTGGTCTCAGCGGGATATTCTAGCAAAACACTTTGGAATAAAGTTCCTATCACTTTTGCAAACGTTTATCGAGAAGTCAAAGCAATTTTATTGGCAGCCCTTTACAGTGCACGCTCTTCAAGCCTCCCTCCAACGCCTACACAATGGTACACACTCGCCATTTATGCTGCCTTACCGCTTCCCATGTGAATCGGATGAAGGTCCGCCGAGGCCATGTGCTCTTCCATAGCGACCGGTTCCGGCATAATCTTTTCCTGCACCTGAAGGCTGATGGGGATGACGCCTTGCTCCGGCAACTCATCTTCGGACGCCGCTATGGCAGCGCAGCACGCTAGAATGCACAGTAGCAGTGCGCTAGGCGGAAGGTGACCGGCATGTCCGCTGCGAAGACGGCTGGAGAACTCTGGCATTTCGCAGAGGTTTCCACAAGGACTACCCACACATACGGATTACGGGTCTCAATCTTGTGCCGCCGAACCGCCGAACTGCAGCGAGAATAAATCTATGAACAAATAAATTCCTATGTGCCGAGCGGACAACACATTGGTAAGAACCCGAGTGAAGCCCAAGCAAAGGCTAGGAATCCCGTACGGAAGTTCGAAAATAATTGTGCTGAGACGTGAAGGTGAAAACGCTAGCACATACTAGTCATTGGACGAGTTTGTTTTGACGGTACTAGTACTCCGACGGCGGTCGCACGTACATGACCTCACCCACCATCAACCACACACCGTACCCGGCGGTAGAGTCTACCCTGAGAGCTCAGTAGTGACTAGTGTCAGTAGCGTGATCACCTGAGCTGAACGCACTCTCAGTTTCCCCCTTGTGTATGTAATATCGCCCCAGTCACTGAATGCTCGTGCCTACATTATTATCTACACTACAGATGCACTGGAACCAATGCCGCAATGGCAATGGCAATGCTCACAGTTGAATGTCAGTTCGCACCAAACAGACACAAGTGCTGAGAGATAGTCAGAGTGTGTGTCCTGGATCCTCTCCATCTAAGGGCATCACGTGTTCATCCCATCCGGCTATGAATACAAATGTGCATAGGGAAATATCTTGATGAATTCATTCCACAGGAGACGGACGGTTGTACCAATGCATTCACAGAAAGGTCCTGGAGAATGATTTTCGGCTGGCTCGGGGCAATGCCTCCGATCACCGAAACTGGCACACCTCACTTCAACCTTTAGCCAGTGTGAACATGGAGAATCAGGTTCTCAGTGTTTGTACCCTGGGGTGCCGCGCTCAAGCGCTGGCTGCATGGGGACAGGCACATTCAGTAGATCCAGTTGCAGCTGCAGCAGCACACAAAGCATGCATGATCCCATTGCTGCATCAGACTGATGGGGAGAGCAAAGTGACACTCTTGAATTAGCTGATGGTTCAAGCTCACTACATAATAATTATAGTAATTATAGTACATAGTACGCGGTTCCTTCATCGGAGAGGATCTATGGGAATCAACCTAGCTGACAACAGACTAAGTAATTTAGGTATGTGCTAATCGAATTCCACTTGAAGCTAAGTGCAAAACAAAAAACGAGAAGAGTGCACGCCAGCTACTCTTCATTCTCGGACACGGGTTGTTGCGAGGAGCAACAGCCATCGATCGTAGATTAGGGTACACCCTGAAAATTACTGAGCGGGACTGCACATGGGTGACGAATGTTTGATGATAAAAGTCACACAAAGCCATGCAGTGAAGTCGATTGCTGGGGGTGTTAGTCAGTGTGTGACCAACGTTGTGTGAATGCCAGAGTAAGAGGAACACAATTATTGTTTATTCGTGTAATTGATTCGTAAAGAAAGGGGCAATCCAGACGAGACTAACTTCTGTATGACCATTCTCTATACGATGATGCATGTCAAGGTTTAGAAGGGGATCATGTAGAGGTTTAGAAGGGGATCATGTCGAGGTTTAGAAGGGGATCATGTAGAGGTACGAACGTCAAATAGAGCGTGGTTGTACCAGTCAAAGAGAGAAAGAGCGAGAGAGAGAGAGAGAGGGAGAGAGAGAGAGAGAGAGAGAGAGAGAGAGAGAGAGAGAGAGAGAGAGAGAGAGAGAGAGAGAGAGAGAGAGAGAGAGAGAGAGAGAGATAGAGAGAGAGAGATAGAGAGAGAGAGAGAGAGAGAGAGAGAGAGAGAGAGAGAGAGAGAGAGAGAGAGAGAGAGAGAGAGAGAGAGAGAGACAGACAGACAGAGAGACAGAGAGAGAGACAGAGAGAGAGAGAGAGAGAGAGAGAGAGAGAGAGAGAGACAGACAGAGAGACAGAGAGAGAGACAGAGAGAGAGAGACAGAGAGAGAGAGAGAGAGAGAGAGAGAGAGAGAGAGAGAGAGAGAGAGAGAGAGAGAGAGAGAGAGAGAGAGAGAGAGAGAGAGAGAGAGAGAGAGAGAGAGAGAGAGAGAGAGAGAGAGAGAGAGAGAGAGAGAGAGAGAGAGAGAGAGAGAGAGAGAGAGAGAGAGAGAGAGAGAGAGAGAGAGAGAGAGAGAGAGAGAGAGAGAGAGAGAGAGAGAGAGACAAACAGACAGACAGACGGAGACACGGACAGACAGACACAGAGAGCCAGCGAGAAAGAGACAGAGAGGGAGGAAGAGAGAGTGAGAAACAGACCGACAGACAGACAGACAGACAGACGGAGAGATTGATAGATAGATGGCGCTAGAGCGAAGAGCTATCTTAACGTCTGTGGTGCCTCCTTTGCACCATGGCTGGTAGCTCGGCCTACTTAGCTCGTAGCTGTACTGATGAGGCCTTTATGGCCGAAACAGCTTGCTGTCTACAGCATTGGGTAGATAGATAGATAGATAAATAGATTGATAGAAAGAGAGAACAGATGTGAGTGAACGCTGGTAAGGCAAGGTATTTGCCAATTACGAGCAGAGATGGCCAGTGCGACATTGTAGGGTTCAGATTCTGAGGACCGGAGTTGGAAGAGTTTCTGAACGATGTTTCATCGGTCGCAGCGAAACACAACAGCAGAGATGGAGACTCCCTTGATTTACACCAGTGCCTGCGGAGACTCCATGATGCATACAATAACAGGTAGAAACGGACCGAATGGCTAATGGTCGACTTCTGTTTGACGTGGTCTTGTGGAACGGGTCTTCGCCAAGGGCTGCTGCTGTACAGCCTCCAAAGGCTTCACTAATCCGGGCAATACGTGCACAACCATTACTCATCAGTCGCAGCTAAGAAAAGAAATCATTGCTGGGAGACCAAGACACTGGCCCAGATGCCACTCTCATCGAACCAAAGTACCCGGACACTCAACGCGTCGAGTACGACTCGGACTTGAAAGGCATGCGGACATCTGGTCTAAGTGAATTAGCTACATGTACACGACATGTATTACTTTCCAGGCTGACACTGCACTGACCGGTGTGAATAGGCTTTTAGAAGACTGGATACAATGGCCAAAATGCATGCATTCAGAACTAAACACAATAGACAAATATGGACTCGGATGGAGAGCCAAGGATTGATTTATAGAAAAGAAATGTTATCGCAAGAGCTGATTGCTTAGTAACTGGTGGTGTTAGTGGACATTATAGGGTAACGTGCAGTTCCTTAGTCCTTTTTCTTTTCTTTAATTGATGGACAAGTAGGATGTCCTATCGCGCATACATGTACACGGCCTACTGTAAATGGGACGTTTAGTTGCAGTTTCGACGTTTGAAATCCAACTCAAAGAGCACGACTGGACAAAGCCTGCACTGCAGCACTACCCTTTTTGTCTTTCCGATAAAAATCGATATCGAACGACCCTTGATCCTGAAAGAGAAAAGCGTCGTTATTCGCAAGTCACTGTTTTATGCGAGGCTGCAAGTACAGTGAAACCTGTCTAAGACGACCACTCAAGTGACCTTCAAAATGTGGTCTCTGTTACCAGGTCGTCTCCTTAGCCAGGGTCATTTGACTAAAAACAGCATCCCTTGGTCCTGGTTGCAGTGGTCTTCTTGGACAGGTGGCCGCCCTGGCAGATTTTACTGTATGCAGAAATCGAGGGTCTGTAGACTCTGTACACCACTCTAGCTGCATAGCTCGCTGGGCCGGGCTAGGCCTTGACAGATTATGCTAATATTTTCGTGAAATTATGCTTTTCGCATTGCTGAAAAAATTGCAGAATTATGCTATTTTTATGCTAAAAGTTATCATATTATGCCGCATTGTGCTCACATTATGCTGCTGATGTATAATGGTTCTGTGCAAAATAACAGGGGAATTTTTTTGTAGAGGGCGTTGTACTGTAGCAGCAAAAGTTCAACGGGGTCAACGCACCGTCCGACCTACAGCTACGACCGTCACTGATTGTAGTGGACTGGACATGTTCTCAAGGGAGTCGTAAACCTACGACTTCCTGGTGCATCTACTTGTACTTGTACCAAGAGTACATAACCCTGGGGTTATGTACTCTTGCTTGTACTTGTAGAACATGTAAAACTGTATGGAATTTGATGCGAACAGGCGGATTATTCCAATTTTTTGCGATTCGTATGCATTTTGCCTCGAATTATGCGATGATTCGATTTTGGTAGGAATTATGCGAAACATTATGCTAGCATAATCTGTCAAGGCCTAGGCCGGGCGTCCCATTGCATTGCTTTGTATCGCGTTTCCTATTCCAACTACTTGAAGTAGCTAACATTATTGTCGTTCACACTGGATGTGTTCACAATGAGTGCCGACCCTGGAAAACGTTATGGCCGTGTTGGCCATACAGATTGTTCATGCCTTAGCGCTATAAGCTCTGTTTTGTGAGCTAGCGTGAACGTGAACGCGCATCATGCTTCAACAGCCTTGAGCATTTCTTCATTTCATCTGGCTTTTTTCAAAGCCACCAAAAATAAATCCAAAGAAAGAATCCTGTGTCGTATTTGTTCTGTAGCTTGCTGGAGACGGTCTATTTCGTGATGTAAACAATGGCAGACAATGTACATGTACATGTGCAGTAATTACCCTGTAAGAAGACCTTAGGGTCTGTTGGGAATGCCCAAGTAAAATAATAAAATACCAAAAAATGTACATGACACGTAAGAGCCTTGATTACTGGTAAGGACATGCAGAGCTTCAGTACAAACGAAAAATTCAAAATACAGTGAAAGTGTTTAGGAAAACATTCAATTATCACAAAGCATGAAACTTTTATCCTGGAAAAAAAGCAATCTCCTAAGGTAGTTTGAACTCGGATTGAGAGCCAAGAATTATTTATAAAAAGTAAAAAGGACCAAGAAACTACAAATTACACTATAATGTCCACTAACACCACCAGTTACTAAACAATCAGCTCATACGATCACATTGCATGACACTGACCGACGGTACTGACGTTCTACAACTAACTGGCTAACAGCTCTAGCACATCTTGACATGCATGAACATCCAGCAACGTCCTTCACGGCTGAGAATTTCAGTTCGTGCTTATCTTGGTTGCGCTCACCTTCCCCTCCTTATGTTACTTCTATAACTTAGAACCTTCCAAGTTGGAAGGCTGTTGGAGTGCGCATCCAAGATGTGCTAGAGGTGCTAGCCAGTTAGTTGTAGAACATGAGTACGTACTGTCGGTGAGTGTCGTGCAATGTTATCCCATGAGCTGATTGTTTAG